AGAAACATCCGGGAATACTAGTCCGATTCCATTAATATAAAAGAATTACATTTTCTACGATATATAGGAGAGTAAATTTAGAATATTTTCGAACCATACAGTCCATCAAAGGAAAAAAAATTAGAGACAGCTTCCCATTTGATGGTATGGAAGTGATAGTCTGATCATTTTGCATATCCAAGTCCTTCGGCATTAACGGAATTTGTTTAGATTTTGTTTGAAATATTCTCTTTCTGTTTGGATAGAATGTCATTTGTCGGTGGTGAGGATATTGCCCACTGGCTGCAAAACCACAAGACAGCTAAGCACCTGTGAATCAGGATGCCCTATGCCAGAACCAAGAGCTTAAAAGACTTCCAGATTAAGCTCAAAAGATCCAAATAGTAGTCTTAATACATTGAAGGACTAGTCTTCCGAAAGTAGTGGATCACACCTTTTCCGATATATCTAATTATGATATATATCGACCTGGTAGAAGCCACTAATGTATTTCACACATAACAGGTTTTCTCTGGTTTGATCGTTTCAAAACCCACGTAACATATGAATGTCCAACAAATCATTACGGAATAAATAAATAAAATTCCAATCAAATTTACGGAGTTTGGCGTCGTGAAATAAATTCTTTGATAACAAAGGAACAAAAAATGAGAAACTGTGCCCAAAATATCTTGAATTATGGTAAATACGTGATGTACTAAGTTTTGTAATTTCCCTATAAATGCACTAATTCTGTGACATGTACTATTATTATTTAAATAACTCATCGGCAATTTTTTAGAATCATGATATTTATTCTACAAAGTTGCAGTGATAAAAGAATACTTCTATTCTCAACTGGAATAATATGATTATCTAGCGATCTTTGATTGTGAAATTCATTTCCAAATCAACCAGACTAGGAATACATGTCAAAAAATAGCTCCCATAGATAATCAAAAGAGCCGCATCAATAGCAAACGGAATGAGCAAAGATGGCTCGTAACCATGCACAAGATTCCGAGTGTTAAACGAACAAAATACTGGGCGGTTGTTACTGTTTGCCGAGATCGTAACCCTTTGACGTCACAAACCAGACCTCTGCAAAAAATTGGACTTTGTGGCCAGCCTAACCCTCCCATGGTAGGGCTGTCACTTTGATGTCGATCGATAAATATGTTCTCCCACCCTATCGCTCTACTCACCCCGACTGTGACTGGTGACCTTTGACCTTCGCACTGATTTTGCCTAGTCGAGTATTTTTGATGTTTAAGGATTTGTCATTTTCCTGGTCGAACTTTCACATGTTTGTTTGTACACCACTGAAGAGATAAAGTGAAACAGTTGAATTCAACCTGTCCTGTGACGATGCTTGTTCTTGATCTTATAAAATTCCTGAAGAAAACTGGATCTATGATGTTCTCTTATAATTAACGGACTGTTTATTCAGTGACATAAAGTGAATCAACTAAAGAGCTAGAGCAATAATATTCTAGGTGATAAAGGAATCAAAATTGCTCCGTTAAAGCATGCTCCTGGTAACCTAAGCTCTGGTTTATAATCATCTCTGATATCTGAGTCTTGCCATCTAACACAGGTGTGTCTAAACAGCAAACGTAGCTCTATTATTAAAAGTTGCGATCAATTTAATCTTTTATATTTGTCACTGGAATTGAATTGAACTGCGGTTGATTGAAAGCTGCCTGGGGGCAGAAATGAGGGATTGGATGGTGGTGCGAGTGGGCTTTAATTATACCATCCTTGAGCCGATAGGCTAATGACCTCAATATCTAGACCACGGTTGTTCCATGCAATGTCAGTGGTACACTACAGACTGATACCACAAATCTTAGACCATGGCATTTGTACGATAAGAATACAGATAGAAGAGTTAGTTTGTTTTGATGTCATTTCGACTGGCTGATTGCGGCGGGTCAACAGAGTTACGCAGATTCGGGGATGCTGGAGAAGTGTTTGAACACGTGACTGAAGCACGCTGTACTGTAGTGAAATTATTGTCTGAAAACAATTTCATATCACTGGAATGATTTCTCTGGTATCGCACGATCAATTTGAAAAAAATAATGAGGTAAATTAGCTAAAGCTAAAGTGTGTTTGCAAAATTTGTGTCCACAGTAACTCTGACGGAAGAACGCGTCGGTGCGATCAACAGTTTGATCAGTTTCTTGGATTTATCTTGTTAGTTTGACATAAACAGATAAACGAATGTGATCTTTCAAGCCGTCTGATGATGAATTCTGAGATGTGGGCGTCAGTGGTTCCCTTAGTTCTGTCCACGGACACTAAGCTTCACAGATACCTCTAAAACCAAAAGCCTATTTAAAATTTATGTAACGTGGAAATGGAACTCTGCCAGCTATCAAAAGACTATGTAGACCTAAGTCCAAAATTCAATCCCTTTTATCAGCTACAATGTATTCTCCCAAAAATAAATTACCGAGGTGTGAACGATATACCTATGATTAAGACGTTGTGTTTGCTTATAATTTCATTTCCCGATTTTACTATTGCACATTGCGCCTTACTATTGGAAAAAGAATGCATACCGAATGTTTCTATTCTTCGAGCGATACAAGGGCAAAGTTTTACTATGGACGACCTAACAAGCTAAAGCTTCACATGCCCCATAGAATGTTTACAGAATATTTTGAATAATTTCACAAAGAGAAAATAATAGTAATAAATGTTTGCATGAACACTCACGGATTTGCAGTGTCTGCGTGTGTGCTGCAGACAGAGATCCGTGGAAACTGATAACCTGGAACTTTGCGGACTGGTTACACTCCTGAAAGTTATCGACTTGCACACATTTGTCTTCAGCGTTTCTGTTTTTGATCAAAAGATGATGCCCGATGCAGGTCAGCCTGTCAGATGTTTCACAGTTTCCTTTCATTAGGCTATATGGGCAATACAAATTAGGTCATCCTGTCCATTCAACTACACAGACTGCAATGGATGATATACTACCAAGAAACGATGCGTGTGCATGTGTGCGTAATTGCGTTTACCTAACCAAGGTTTCGACACCTGTTGGTCCGGATGCTTGGATTCCTAATCATACGACACACGAATAAATCGAACTTGTATTTGCCTAAGTGGTTTGGTCCTGTGAATCTCTAGTTCTGTTTACCGACGGTAGGCGATAAATACAAAGTTAGTAACATGTGCTTTAGACATACACATGGACTGACAGGTGCACCCCAAGTTATTTGGTCACTTATTTTCCCGAATTAATAAAAGTTAGTAACTTAAGGGTATGCGAAGGACCAGCGAGTGATATGAAACACGCAGCATAATGTATCGCAAGATTTTGTGTTAAGTTTCTTGGTATTTGGAGGAGAACAAGTGAAAACCTGCAAACTTACGGAAGAACACGAGTATTTTACAAAACAACAGAACGCAAATTTGATATTTACTTTTTTGGTTTTTTGTTCTATATACAAAGTAATTTTGTGTCCTTAAACAATGAGGTGTATTGGTTTTTTACGGATAGTGTTTGAGTCAGACTATAGACCATTGTTGAACCGGTGTGTTCATCTGTGACCGAAAATACCAGAGCAACAGACATCACACGTAACTGGTATTCCGGCAATATAGAAAATCTGCACTTTACATCACTGCAGTTTATAAACGCAGTTTTTGTACGTTCCTAATCTTGTACATGTTTTAGTCCTTCGGAAATCCTTTATTTACCAATTTTCTTATGGTGATTGTTACGTAATTGATGTGAAGGTGTACGCAAAGAGATTCAAGACAAAAAATCAGCACCGACAGTTTGCGGCTCAAGTATAACGCTTTTATGCATCACTCAAGGAATTACGACCGGTATATAAAATGGACGCACTTGGAATAGGCCGTAACAGTAAAGGAACTATGATGAGACTCCATACGTGGGCTTTCATGCACATTATTTGACAATCGTAATTTAAATGCGTTGAAGTAATCAGTGACCACTGTTTCATTAAATAATATCCTGCAATAGTAAAATATTCAAACTGAAAACAAATACTGACACACCGCATGTGAGAAAATAATGCCTTCTACCAAGCAGTGAAAAATGATTCAGATGTTCAGATTGTTACGGATGTTATTGTGAAACACAAGTAAGTAAATTTATGGTTTATCACTTAGGGGATACCAGATTTGCTATCCTGTTATCTGTGGTCAACCATTTTCTAAATGAGTGACGTGCTGCATAATTAGGACAAAAAAATACCTTTGTTGTGTGACAAACCCCAGTAAATAAAAGGCAAATGTAAGTTACTATCTCATAGCTGCATAAGATCAACTTAACAAACATTGTACTAAACTGAGTCGTATATACCGTACTGTGATCTCAAATGAAAAGGTATTGTCATTTATAATTCCTATCTGAGTTGATGGATAATATTTGATTAATTCATCAACTGAAGAACTCCTTACTAAACGAGTTGATAATTCTATGTCCCTCTTTAATGAGTTTCGAAAATAGTAATTTGGGTGTTTATGTACTGAATGCTATAGACAGCAACGTGGTTGGATAGAATAATCATTTTGGAGATGCATTCCAACCGGAATTCCAAGTACCTCCATGATTTATGGCATTCTGAAGTGGTTGTTTACTTATCCGACAGAACAACGGACACCTGTTCCTATGGGAATGACAGAGTTTGTGAATGTGCATGTGTAAAACGTGCTTCTGTGTTACGTGGCGTACGTTTTACCCTCCCTTAATAAGATCAAGTTGTTCTTACCACGTGTTCATTTGCATAGAATGGTCGAAACACAACGCCTACCTTTTGTTTTATTTAGCTTGTATTAAAATGAAAGCAAATTTCAAACCCGAACAAAATTAAGAATGGGGCTTAATGGCTAGAATTAAGGGCGCTGTCACACCTGCCGTTTATAATTGAGCAATCTCTGAATGACGAGAGCCACATAAAAGCAAATTCTCATTCGCACTTATTTAAATGACGATGAAACGAACAATATTAAGTGAGGCGATCAGATGAGACACATACCCTCGGTTCGATCGACAAGTTTTGAATGACATGTACGGCTGCACTGTGCACATCGATCAATCCAATCCGATAAGAGTGACTAAAACTGTCCGGAGCGCGGACCACATGAACAAGAAACCGTCGTGTTCCACAGCTGTTCTGCCAAGCTTTGATGAACAATAGGCCCGCGATTTGTATGAATAAATGTGCATCGACAAAATCATTTGCGTCCACCACAGCGACACTCGCGGCCGCAGCACGCTCGGGTTCCGTTGCAGTCCTTGTTTCGATGAACGGATTCTTGGCAATAATTGCTCGTTGCGGCCCGGTTCGCTGGAGGCCTTTGATTTGAACATGCCATTTTACAATTAAATGAACCCAAAATACAAATGTTACCGTGGACATCAGAAAGTCCAACAGGAAGTAAATAGGAAAGTTTTGTCGATCACTCTCGGACAAGGATAAAGCGGTCTTGGATTTTGATAGGGGAGTGCTCTGAGAATTTGAAGCGGCAGATCGTAGCCAACTCGATGAGGACGTGTGAATACGTTCGGTGCAACAAATTGTCGTTCGCAGCCGAATTGCGTACAGGGAGAGAATCACAGCGCACAAAATCACATATTTAACGCATAGAGATAACAATCGTATTTCGCACAACATTCGACAGTTTTCAAACCGTTCACTGGTTCGGATTAGACGTTTCATCCATAGAAACGGGACGGCATAAATCAACACCGGACTTATTAGAGTCAATAAAATAAGAAACGATTCGATGGCCATAAGTGCACTGTTTAGATCTCTTTGGGGGCGAAATCTTTTCTCATTCCCGGTATGTTTACTCCTCCACTCCTCGGCATCGGACCAGTCGGTTGCCTCCATGTTCGGTGTCCACGAGTGGTGACATTTATCATCACGAAGTTTATTTCGTTCAAGAAATTGTGATGAATCCAATGCTTGATCGTTTTCCGGTTCAGTGGTGAGTGGATGGTTCATTTTTCCTCCTCTAGATCACAGTCAAATTAGACGCATTCACTGCCAGGTGTGTTTCAAAAGCAAACAAATCTGACTTTCCCGCAGTGGTTTTGAGAGGCAATTATTATTCCCCCACTTTTAGCCAATGAGATCCAAGATCTGATTGACCAATCACGAGTAAGTTTACCCAGGGTTTGAACAGGTGCGTGAAACGGTGTTACCATGGTAACGTTTGAACATTTTTACACAACAATCCGTGCCAATTTTTGAGAACCGATTGAAAGATACGTTGATGTTGTATTCGGAACACTGGTTCATCTAGAAGTGTAGACCAGTAAATACATATGCACATTTAGTCTGTGGCACGCCTGCATTTGTTTGAACATAAACAGACTCTTTCAAGTAGACCACAATACTGATTTTGATTTTCTGGAGGTTTTTCTGTCAACCGCTTGTAAGGCTTGATTAGTATATATTTGTGTCGGCCATCCAATGATAATACTGCCCACACATACATTTATTGAAAGCAGCGTGATTCCCCAATTTTATTCAGGGATACAGAAGCGGTGAACTGAGCTGACCTTGTGACCTTTGTGTTTGATTTTATGGTTTTGTGAATTTAGAACCTCTTGGACACGTTTTAGGCACGTGCGTGGAACATTCAGAATAAATTGAGCCAATTCATTGCAAATGAAATAGAATAGTATGCTAGATAGCGGCACACTTGTGTAACACATTTGATGAAATGGCATCGAAGTGAATTTATTCAAAATACAACTCTATTAAGAAGTTTAGTTCACCAATGACTTGTGAGCCCGTTTACCCTAATTCGTTAATCTGCCATGAAAGTGAAACCTCTGAGGTATATCAAAATGACCTTGAGGTCCGAAGCATGACCTGTTTTTATAGGAAATACAAATACCAAAGTCATTTTAATCACTTATTGAGAACAGTTACATAACCCTATTAGGTGGGAACACTACGTACGTTCGATGCGTGTTCAGTATTTCACAATAGCGTTTACGGTTTGATGGGTTTGTTGTTCAATTAACTCATGGCAACATGAGCGCAGGTTTTAGTCCAACAAACCACTCAGAACAATCCTATTTACTTCTGCGATTCGGCCTACTACATTTTTCCCAGACATTTGCAAATGTCCTGTTTAGATCGACGGTAACTGATTTAGGATCAATAATAGTCCCTTACATAGAAATCCAGGAGAGAACAATTGGACGTTTAATATAAACAAAATGGTCGCATATTTTCGGTGATTTTACGGAGAAACAAAAACAGGGTAACCACCGAAAATTTCCACATCAATTACTGTTTGTCTGTGCACAGGAAGAAATAGACAGGTGATCAGTGGACCAGTAGACCGCAATTCCCAGTTTGACAGAATGAAATGTTTCTGCAGCGTGCAGTTTCTTTTTTATTCACTCTACGTCATGAGTGAGCACGGTGTGCATCCACGTTCTACTGTGTTTTTGTTCTTCATGGAATATTCCTTCCACCGACGGTAAATGACTCGTATGCATAAATAGTTAACTGACTACTTACATAGATCTTGACAAACACACGATCCAATTTTTTGGTCCAGCCAATCGATGAAGTACTTCAGAAAAGTATCAAGCAAGCTAGGCAAAAAATAGCAATTAGGAGAGTCATTTTATGCCTGTGTCGGGTGTAAAATATGAGTTTCGCCACTTAGTCAAATCGCTAGTCCTTTGTGGGTAAAAAGAAGCTAACGGAAAATTCAGGCTGATATCTAGTTCCACGAATTCGCGGCAAGTTGGTTTGAAGATAAATACCTCACAAACACCCTCGTTATTACCTGTAGATTGAACCGAGGTGGCACTTTTGTTGCATGAGTTAATTGCTTCTAGCACTTTGTGACTTTTTCTCTCGTCTCAAACCTCTTGTTTCTTGTTGGAGTGCAAAAGTTCCACCGCACATCAGTTTTGCTTACCCAGTGGTCTTTCTATTTTCCCTTGAGACTGAGGCGATATACACTGCGTCATCGGAATCATTTGATGTACGAATTTAACACATTCCAGTATTTTACTATCTTGTTTTAGCATAATAATCATTACATTTGTGAATGCAGGAATTGAAAGGTTAACCAGTCACTCGTGGAATGAAGTTAAAGAAATGCAAAGAATTTTCTTCAATACGTTTTGATGGCAAATGTCGTCCAGTTTGTAACTAGTAGGTGGCAGCCTTCCCAATAAAACTTCCAATTCCTTCCTATATTGACCAGAATAAATGAAAAAGAGAAAAAATATCCTAAGCTGGAAGAAGTGTAATGTGATACTTGAAGCTAGAAATTACTAATTGTGAACTTCTGCATTATCTCAGCTTTCAAATTGGAAAAGAAATTGGCTGAAGATTTTCCGTGTATCATAACTATACTAAACTAGTAGATTGGTAATTCAACGGTGCGTGAAAAAAAATCAGTAAGTTATTCGGAAAAACTCTTCATCTTCTAAACCCTGAACACAGGACTGTGTACTTCGTGGCCTTCAGGTAGTTTCGTTGCATAAATAATGACCCAATAGATTTTAATTTTTATCGAATGCTTTTGAAGTTGATTAAGACGGATTAACGTCGGACAGTCACGTGGAATACGTATCGTGGCCTTGACTTTTGGTGATAACTTTTGGTTGTATTCTCACTCCAAAAGCTTAGAGTACGTCGATCGATTACTCTGCTGCACTCGATGGTCGTTATCCCAACGAAATATGGTACATGGTTCATTGTTTTAGTTCACGGACTTCGAGAGGAATCTGGCCTTAGGTCCCGAAATGCAACCCGATTGATAAAATCCATCACACATCAGTTTTCAATAACTGTTTGGTATTATCATCCAATCTCATTCAAGTTGGAACTGAACAGATTGTTTTCACGAGATCAAGTATTTTTTACACATATGCTATCATATGGCCAAAACTGTGCGCATAACAAGCGCATGGGGCCTCCTGTCAACCAGACTGAAAGTTTCCAGAGACTGCCAGCATCAAACAATGACGCAGAGACGTGTGTCCCTGGAAAGCCATTTAACAGCCCGGTGCATATGTTCTCGCCTAGATTAAGAGAAACGAAACATAAACTGGGTCAGATGAGTACTGAACAAGGAAAGAAGATGGACACACACGACTTTTATCAGGCGCATGTTCCGTTTCTAAAACCAACTTGTTTGAGGTGATAAGTATTAAGCATATGACTAGTGAGCAAATGATTTACAGATGAAAGTCAATATTGACAAACAAAATGCTGTAACTCTGCAATATAGTCAATAATTTAATGTTGGTGAGAACAAAATAATGATGTTTCGATGGAAATTGGATTTCGCTTGAAGCATCGGTGAACTTATATAGTATATATATATACTATATTTATGAAGTATGTAGTATAGCTAGTTTATTTTTCGTATCACTCTTAGCATTATTCATTAAAAAAGAGAACAAATTTAGAATGATGGTCTTGTAATGGATCAAATAAACTCTTCAAATACTGAGGAACGAAAGAGTCATCACAGTTTCCTAATTGTTTGTCTCCTCTGAATTTCTTAACCGGAAGAGTTGCAGCTGACGTTGAAAACGAAGATATAGCTCACCGCTTCTACAATACAGTTGTGATAAATATAATTTAAAACTGTGTCACTCACTCGAGTGACCGTTGAGATTTCTTACGTCATTTGTGGAATTCTGAACTGATCAGCTCGAACATCTATTCAAGAATGAAAACGTTTGAATCATGTTTCAGCTTTTGATGCGTGCTCTATTCAAGGACCTTCTGTTTATTCTAGGCACCTGTTTAGTGAAAGATTACAGACCAGCAGGTATTGGTTTAGTTTTTTCACAATGAAAACATTGCTCATTTTCCGGCCACCCATTTTAAGGGGATTCACTCGATTGCGTTCGACATATCCAACCGTCAACTCACTCAACTATGTGAATGAGCACGGCAGCATGTGATCACACACCAGACTTGTGAATTCCCGAGTGTGCACCATGTCATTCACCTGTCACTGTGGTACCATTGTGCTCACCAACCGTCAGCAGTGTTTGACGGACTAGGTCCCAGGCAGGTATCGTGTGTTGTTCGCATTCATTGCTGAGGTGTTGCCCTTTCAACCATAGAGTGAACGAAAGCTATGTTCTACGCTGTCCACGCCCTAGTCTTAGGCTTCTTGCGGAAAGGTGTTTCCCGAAGGCTTACCATTGTCAATTTATAATCAGGACGGAAATACTACCATCATCGGTTTGAATTTTTCCACTGAGAGAAACCGGACAAAAACGGGTTCAAACGCATTAATGCAGTTACGAGTGATGTATTTGTTGTCCGTATAGAAGCTTCGGTTTCAAACGTACGGAACAATTAAAAGTACAACGTGATTTGACACGAAACTTTATGGTATTCGTACCTGATATTCATGTTATTCGGAAAGCTAACAATCAAACGCTTTGTTTTTGAATTTTATCGACCAGATACTTGAATGAAATTTGACTGGGAGTATAATAAAACTTTGGGACAAAATGGAGAATAACGAGGATGAATTCAGTGAACAGTTTCTGCTAACTAAAAGCTGGAGTAAAAGAAATTCCTCAGCAGTTAGAGTGATGCAGCACGTTGGTGGTTCTGATCAACAGAATACCGTCTTCTCTGCCAGTCGCATTTTCCGTCCCTATGGTCCAAAATACCTCATGAGCAATTTTTGGATGGCAGGTACGTGATCATTGGTTAGCAATATTCATCTCAGTTGTCGTGAAATGTTATTTAGGACTCTTAAATTATATTTATGCACATACCCCCCCCCCCTCCCNGAACCGTTTTTCCAACGGTCAAGTTTCTCATGAGAAACTTTCCGTGATGTATTCAATATTGAATAAGCCGAGAATAGTACATAGGAAGGTGTATTTCAAACTATTTATGTTATTTTTCATAGAATTACTCCTAACACATCGGACGAGAAAAACTCATGCTATTTCATATCTAAAGATTATCCAGACGGTTTTTCTCTT